ACGGTCTGGAACCTCCTCCGAGGCATGCCTTTTGAGGTTATGCGAGTTAAGGGCCGCTGGAAGAGTTCAGCCTTTCTCCTCTATCTTCGCCGTCACGCCGAAATCCTTGCCCGATACATCCAACAAAACCCGCAGCTCCAAGAGGCCTTACGGCGGATCACGCTGCCTCCAATTCGCTAATTCTGTAAGCACATCCGTCACCCCGTTCCTACATTCTTGGGAATCCGTGCTCGCTCGATGCGTCACAGGGCTCCTTAATTCCTGGGTATCCACAGCTTACACGGATTATCTTAGCAGGTCGGAATGTGCCGGGATTCGGAAGGCTCGCCTTCGGCGGGCTTTCGCCCACTCTCGCTATTTTATGATACACAAATATATTTGCTGCCCCGCCTGTTTCTTGTGTGATCATCGTACCGAACGAGACCAGAAGTCTCGTTTGACCTACTGAGCGTCGAGCAGAGCAAGATCCATAGTATATAAACCTACCTACTTCCTGTTTTGTACTCTAGTCTTGAGATCGTCAGTCTCCCCCCTATACAACCTTTTCCTTGCCCTTGGTGTGTGTTTCTGAGTGAGAGATCGCCTGCCAGCAACCCCTCTTTGTAGGATATGGTTGTTCTGGTGTGGTTGTGACACTTTCAACATCTTTAGTGGGGTATAATTTTCCACGTAGAACTCCAACATTAACTTGCATAGCTTACACTTCAACATGACCATGATTGGCCCATGAGACCCTTCCTTCAGAATGGGAAACACCTATGCAGCCCTAATTCTGGGTACTTCAACACTCACAAGTGCCATGTGGAACTTTTGAATCATAAATAGCAAGGGGCATCAGCAAGATGATAGATCACAAGGATCTACCTGGTCTACAGCGGCTCTGCACCACTATCCTGTCTACGGCTGTAGAGTTTGTGGGTGTCCTGTAGACATTTAGTCACCGTAGACATTTGTAGACCTCTGTAGTAATGGTCATCAATATCAGTTGTCAGTGTTGGCCCGAGTGGTGTGGTCAAGTGGCAGCCTGAGACTTGGAATGAAATCGACAGTATATTTCGTATCTGAACAGTCTAACATACAAGAACAGGCAAAAAGAAGAGATGTAATGTACCAGAATAGATGAATCAAAATACAATCTCATGAGCATGATGGTCCACAAATTTATTAACATAGAACATGGAAAATGCGTCAAGAGAGTCAGTATGTTTCCACTTCGTCGGCACCCGGAAGTCATTTCCATAAACCGGAATCAAATGTGCAGCACGAATAAGAGCGTCAAGGTGGATTACACCCAGAACTCGTCTGTCATGACCGCCACCTATACCGTACACATATGCACCATTTTTAATCCATTTTCCATGTTTTTCTCCTCCGCATGCCACCCAAGATTCACGCCACAGTCTTTACGAGCCTTCCAGATTTTTCCTAAGATTTCTATCATTTTATTCCGCCCATCGAACCTCGTCGAACTCCCCACAGACCGCATAAGGAAACCGGCCCAGCAAGTTCCGCACTCGCGCGTCGAGCCTTATTCCTTAAGTCTCGACCCTCGTTAAATGTGTCCCGCAACATTTTTCCTATCAATGCACGAGGAAGCGAGTACACGCATGGAACACAACATGCCAAGGAAGCTCTCCCAATTTATTTGAAGTTTCTACGATTTTATTCGGGCCATACACAACAGACGATCGCAGCTATGGAAGCTCGCACCGAGCTGCTGGTTCCTGTGGAACGATTCGAACTCCGACGCGCGAGGATTTCCACACACCTTCTAGCGAAGCTACAGAACGCTACACTGGGGGGTTTTGCTCCAAATAAAATCCTAGACAACACTCTCGAACCAGTTCTTTCCAACAAGCCAACAATCTCGACGGTTGGTTCACCACAGAATTTACTACGACGCATTCTCGGTTGAAACCTCAGTCAGGGCCATCTGATAGGGATTCTCCTCGTGTCTAACGGCCAGTTTCTGTTCAAATACCAATGTTTTGATATAGGGAGATAGCTATTGGTTCATACGTTCAATCTACGGTGTCCAGCGATTTTATTTCGTGCCTGAATCACCAAGGATAATCATTCAAGTTCGTGTCCTTGTACCCATTGTTCTCTAGAATAGTTTCTCCATCCTCTTAGCTTTATCGTTCGTTTCCTATGATCGTCTTGTTCTGGGATCCTCTCCGTACATGCTATGAGCTCGTTGAATAAACCTCGAAGTGTTTCTGTAGTGTACATACTTAGTGTCTGAATATTTGTCTTCTCCCTTTGATTGCTCCTTGATTATTCGTCTTACTCTTTATTCTACTTACTGTTGGGCGATCCGGGACTCGTATAAATACACCAGAGTACTTGCATGTATTTCCTCAGTTTGTAGATCGCCTATCCCTGGGCTTTCTAATATACTCATTCCTCTACCACCTTTATCCGCCGCTTTTCTGATTGTTTTTGTCTTGAGCCATGGGGTATCTCCACTCCCGTATCACCCGGTCGTGACATTATCTACAAACTCCTAACCCACCCCTCACAACCTCTCTATATTTTCTTACGACTACGTACATGTCTACAAGCCGTTCGACCAATCCTCTCACCTACACCATCTACTACTCTTTCTCTGCACCAACCCCAGCCGAACTCCATGCACTTCTCTTCATCCACAACATCTTCGAAACTCCCTCGAACCCTCTTGCGATGACCTTCATCTATCACCACATCCTCGACGGTTCCTACACACCCTTTATCACTCCCATCGCCTCCCATCCCAACGCCTCTATCATCACCATCAAGGAAGAAGATCCTTCGGACGAGGAATTATCCCTGCTCCTCCGCTATCCTTCCTCCGAACCAGACTCTTCCTCCGACTCTTCTATCTCAATTCCTTGCGTCGCGCCGCTCGTCAAGTGCCGCACCGATCCTACGCTTCGTTGCATCTGCAAGTAGTGTCACTGTTAGAACCAGAGTTACTTAGGACGCACCTTTTCTCCTTCTCGCGTCTACTATATCATCCCTATTCTATCTTCACTTCATTTTCGAACGTTGAAAGACACCTTTTAGGAGCATCCGGTGAACGCATATACCCGGGTGTGTCTATAGCGGCTTGTAGAGTCCGGTTGACTGACCAGAGCAGCCCTCTGTGTTTAGTTGCACTTTAGTCTGCCTGCTCAAACCAGGGGCTATCGGCTTCACAACTGCTCTCACCTCTCTTACTCTTACAAACCTTTTTGTGTTCGATTATGTACGCCACTTGGCCCGAAGTAGTTTTATCAAGCCGACGAAACTACGGGACGCACCTTCGACCTCTCCTCTCCATTTTTCCGTACTATTATTCGCCTCTGCCTCTAATACTCGGCATTTCGACTGTCAGTATTACGCATACAAGCTTCGCAGAGGAGAGCGTCGACCTCAAGACCACAGGACAACACTCACCTATTGTTCCTTCAACTTCCTTCGCAATTAAATCCCTCCACCCCCGATTTCCACCCTGGCTAACCCGTGGTATATTCGCTACGACTCCAAACACGAATATTACTATACCCATTACAACCAGAACGGGTTCTGAGGAGACCAACGATTAAAGTGCGAGAGATCGAAGGAAGTCGACAAATATTTTACCTACCTTAACAACCCCATCCGCGTTACCGAACCCAACTCCACCTACCACGAAACCCTACCTTCCGATACACCCAATCCACCGTATGGAGTCTGGGATCCAGATCACCATGTCTGGTGCACATTCATCACTCCGAGCCGAGCAGTTCTCCAAGACATCGACAACAGCTACCCCATATATTGTGACAGGACTTGGAGATACATCTCTCCCTCCGGAGAGCGAGTACCGACGACCCGAGACGCTTCCTCACCTCCACATACACCTCCTCACACCTCGCGCACCGTTACACCAAAACTCTCCGACCTATCTCCCGTTCAACCCCTTCTGTCTATGGCCACACGTACCACGACTCAGACCCGAGTTAGAACAGACACAATGAGCCAGCAAGATGATCAAGAGGTCAACAACAACCTAGGAGATGCCGGAGCACGAACCCAGAAACCATACAGACCAGGAGACAGTCGTCGCATTAGAAGCAAGGCTAAGGAAGGAGACGGTGGAGGAGACAATGATCCCAGCGATGACGACGGAGGCGGCGACAATAATTCGTCAGGGCATTTTACCTTCAACAGCAGCATGCCCAATCATACGCATAGGACATTCACTGGAGACAACCCTGCCGAGTTTAAGGAGAACAAACACGTCGCGAAACCACCTTTCTTCGACGGTTCGAACTGGGACGAGTTCTGGAGCGCTGTCCTCGGCGTTATCAGAGCCAATCCCAAATACTTCCAATTGTACCGCCGTCGCATCGAATACATCCTCTTCTTCTTCCGAGGCGATGTGATTTCTTGGAAGCAGAACTACCAGTCGAACCCAGACAACACTGTCAGGAACGAATACCTTGATTATCCGTACAACCCAGACACCGACCAGCTCGAGCTTCCCCAAGAAAAGCATCGCAACGAAGTCACTGAGGCCGACTGGTTCCGGTTCATGAGGCTCCTCAAGAGAGACTACGAGACCCTAGATTCGCGAGGACAAGCTAGGCAGAAAATTATGTACTCCAAACAGGGAGTACTGACAGCTGCCGAGTTTTTCCACAAACTAGACTCGTCGAGGAGGATCGCCAGGTGGCAAGGGAAACAGCATGACGAGATGGTAGTCGAGAAGCTCAAGGAGAACTTGAACAGTCGTATCGTCGACGCCATCTATGGCAAAGAGAAGATGCCGGCGACTTACGATGACTGGAAACAAGCCGCGATGGGGTGGGACAACCGAGAGCAAACCAAGAAGCTTGCGAGAGCATACGGTTATAGACCTACATCTCCTGCTCAAGTTTGGTACCGACCTAGCTCACCGAATCTGTCCTATTCTCCCTCAACTCCACATCCTCCTCGTCCTCCGACTCCAAGACCGTCTAGTAATCCGGTACGCTCTCCCTCGCCCACTCCTTTCCGAAGCCCGTCCTCAGCTTGTACCGCTAGAGCTATGCTACCAGATGCGGAATATAAACGACGAAAGGAAGCCGGGGAATGTTTTGGCTGTACTAAGAAGTGGGACTCGGGCTATCACTGCGAATCTAGGAGCCAGAGAATCAGAGCAGCGGTCCATACGTTGCATGACGAGGATAGAGGGAAGTTCTTGGACGTACTAGATGTGGATTTTCCGAAGAGTTGAGAGTGCAGGCGGTCCTCTCAACTCAACAGTCGAATTATTTTTCTCCTTTGCAGGCGTAGCTGTACCACCTTTATAAAGAGTCCCTGTAGTAAGACTGGGACTCTTTGCAAAGAGCCCACTATATTAATGAGCCTGGGCTAATAAGGGCTCTTTATAAAGAGCAATCCTGCTGGTGGCTATTCTGGTCGGAAAAATGGGCGGAAAAATAGGCAAAAAATGCGTGAAAAAATGGGGGGATGGGTGTGGGGTGGCCCTGGGGTAGGGAGGGTGGTTTGGGGATGGGTAGGGGGTAGGGTAGTGGGTAGGATAGGGTAGGAAAATGGGTGGTAATTGTGCATTAGGGCTAGGATAGCTGTATGCAGGGTATGGGGAGGATGTATGGGGCTAGGCATGGGCTCTGGGGCTAGGGCAGATAGATAGGTGAATAGGGATAGAATGATGGACAATAAAAATACGGAAAATACAGAAATAATAGCAGGAATGCTATGATTGATATACCGGGTACTGTGGGGGTGGATTGGTAGGGGAAATGGGGTGATCTGGGTGTGTTTTAGTAACTTTGTGAGTTTTGTGATTCAGAGTGAATGAATTGCAGGGGTAGGTGTTGTTTTGATGGAATTAGCTGATAAAAGGGTAAAATGTGGCCCAAAGTTGGAGACATGAAGAAGGGCGATTTTGGCAGTTCTTTGGCTCTGATAAATAAGTATAAATGTATGTGATGGACATATTCCGGATTTGGACAAATCCGTCCATGCGTTCCCAAGATATTGCAAAAACAAGTGGAGGGATATTCAGGGTTGGGGCTCAGCTATGCAGGGTACATTATTTAGCGGTTGGATACCGTTCCTTTTGGGTGTTATGAGTGCCATATCATCCATAGAGCATGTATCAGCCATCCGAACCACAATATTTGGCCATATGGGCCTATGGTATGCTGAGAAAGTGAGGGGGGAGGAGGAGCACATGGATCTGGGCCCTATCTTGGATGTATACATGGTCTATATTGTCTGGAAGATACCGGGATAGGGTAGATATACCCTTGGGTGAATTTATCATGGAGCTAAACCAATGAGAATGTCCATCTGTGAGTATAGGGACAGGGAGGGGTGTTTCTGGGCCACAGTGCCAC